CACTGTGGCTCAAGAGCAATTCTTGGTTTACATGTAAATGGATTAAAAAGTTATTTTTTGTTTGTTGTTCGTCTCTATTGATGAAAAATGTTATCTTTCTTTGGGACCTACGCTTTGGACATTTCATCTCTGACATCATCTATAAAATATATTTCTGAAAAATACAAGCGTCTCTGGTTGTGTTGACTTTTTTTATGCCTCCGCGCTGGCGACACCCGTTGGCCGGAGGCCTCATTGTCTGGTCGTCCATCCCCGGTGACGTTTTCTCAAGAACACCTCGAGGGAATTTCTTCAAATCTGGTAGCAAAGAAATAAAGTTTAGAATTTAGTGGTGAAAGGTCACGTTGGCTTTGTGAACACGTCAATGTGAGAACGCCTCTTGAGAATCCTTTCACGTTTGGTACAAATGTTCACTCAGACTCATGGATTAACTGATTAGATTTAGTCAGTCAAAGGTCACGGTGAACTCAGGAGTCTGGGAATAAAATGCATGTACTGGTTGAGGGAGTTTATTCAAGTTTTTGCTTGAAATGATTGGACATAAACGATGTTAAGGGGTTAAATACAATCATGTTTCGGACTTTTTCAAGAGTCCACATCAATAACAAGGTCTAGACAATTATCTAGTATCTGCTCTTAATTCCAGACAAGATGGTCACGCTTCAGATTATCTCGCTGATGACGAAGTGGGATTATCAACTGACAGAAAACCTGAGGAAGCTTTTTGGATCTGAAGAACGGCAAATCAACCGCCCAACACATGACCACAGTGATTTGACCAGAGTGAAGAAGGAAGGTCTTTGGTTTGTGGAGCCGTACGAGGGGCATGAAGTCTCAGCTGACTCCTCTCTTGAGTGGACAATCTAATTGAGAGAACCAATATCACAAGTGTTCACGCTGGATTTAAACAAGGTCCAAGGCAGCAGCTGTCAGGTGACCTCCTCCTCCTGATGGTCTGAGCTTCATTTGATCGCTGTGATGAGTCTAAATCCTAAAGGCCTGCAAGACAGATATGAAGAAAAGTTTTCAAACCCAAAGGATATTCAGATTAATATCATGGAAAATAACACAATAAAATGTCTTTTCAAATGGAAGCAGGGTATTTCTTGTTTTAATTACTTTTTTTTACTAAAAAGCATATCTGGTGCATTTAAATATTATCTAATTATTTATTATTATTGATAGTTAAAGAAGAATTACAAGCCAAACGTTATAAAACTTGTCCCATTTATTCCACATGAAAAAATGTACCACTTTAACAGATACACACCTATTTATTTACTTGTCATCTTAAACTTACATATTTCCATCTGTAGTTAAATACTATTCACACATTCACTGCATTTTAATTGCATTCATGTCTATTATCATTGCCTTTTGTTCTACTAATAACTAGACCGTGGTATTTTGTTTTTGTAACATGAATTCTTAATGTGTGATGGTTCTATACCAGGTTATATAAAGAGGATCATTCCAGTGTATTTTAATGCTTGAATAGAAAATGCCTGATGTAATGGTGACAGCTGACAGTCAGCGTTGTTGTGTTAATGGACTCCTGTTCTGTCCAATGAGAGGAGGTCACTTCCCTTTTCCTCCACAAACACTCGGCTCATAGTTCCTCTCTGCTCTCGCTGTCTCCCGCGGCACAGTGCGATGCTCCGGCTGCAACATTAGCGAACCTCACCCCCACATCTCTGCGACCCTCCAGTGTCGTTTTATTATTGGTTTTACTTTCTCCCCCCTGTTTTAAGAAGAAGCCCCGCCGGGTGTTTTTGGACATGCCTAACATCGTGCTTTTTAGCGGGAGCTCCCACCACGACCTGTCCCAGAAAGTGGCCGACCGGCTGGGGCTGGAGCTGGGCAAAGTCATCACCAAGAAGTTCAGCAACCAGGAGACATGGCGAGTACATGTTCCATCCGAGTCGAAGGGGTTTTATTCCGCTGCGGAGCACATGTTGCTTCCCATGTGGACGCGCTAGCTCCAAGCTAACAATAGTTTAGCACACGTGACTTAGCTAGCCACATGTAAACACAGCGGGCTCGAGGCTAGCTAGCTTACAGCTGCAACTTTGCTAGCCCCCCCGTGTAAAGTCAGCTAGCATTGTTGGTTGATATTAATCCAAATTGTTAGCTTAGTTAGCCGCTGTGAT